TTGGGTTTTTTTTTGGCTAGGGTATAGCCAATACACTGAAAATGGCAGGCATTTAAATATATATATAAATATATATAAAAAGTGTTCCTAATTCCTGAGTTACTAGTGAAATGAATTTGACAATTGTAATAAAAAAATGTTTCAACCCTTTTAAAGAAGGTGTGTACTATTTTGGTCTGTAATATATAACACCTAGTCAATTTTAAGTGATGAGAAACTACTTCCACTTGTGCTATATACTTTGAAAATTTTTACAAACCTAAATCCAGGAGGCAGTTCCGCATGTAGGGTAGGAGGTTTCTTTTCATACACTCAAGCACGAGATACTAATACAAAATTGTATTTTCTTACCTAGTGGAAGTCAGTAAAATGACTGAAAAATACCTAGTGAATGTACAGTTTTACTTTCATATCCCTCTTTAAAATAGCTTTAGAAGTTTCTTGTATTTCCTAGTCAATATTTCATCTGTATAAATACATTTGCAACAATTTTTTTTTTTTTTCCCAGAAGAGCCAAACTTTGAGTTTTATGTCTGTTTGTCCTTGATGAATTTCAATAAATCTTTTTATACAATTTTTCTGTGGCTTATTTGAGTAAAATGGGCCACTGGGAAGGAATCGCACACCTTTTTAAAAAAGGCATTTACTAAGCTATTCTGGTAAATCCCCTGATATTTTTAGCAGCCTGGTGATACGTTTTGCTCCATAAAAGCTACCCTTGGCCACGGCTGGGTGAACCAAGGGAGAGGTTTTGCCTGTGGATAACGGCATGCCATTTTTCTGTCCGAGTGAGCGTTCCTTCTCTGTTACCGCCACGATTATCGCGATAACGCGCGTTCATTTCTGACGTTTAATCCTATCCCTATTTATCCAGGCCCGGAAGAGAGAACTCTCGGTTTCCCCCGTCGGCGTGCGGTGCTGCGGCTCGGGGCGTGAGTTGTGGGTTAGCACCTCTGGGAGCTCTGCTCATCCGAGACAAGGTGACTCGCTGCCAGCCCGGAGCTGACTCCACGTTTCCCTCGCCTGGAGGTGAGCTGTGGGTCGGAGGTGAACAGCAGAGCGAGTAGCATCTTCCGTGTACCTAAAATTGAAGTTTCTGTGCCGTGCGAGGGCGTGGGAAGCTGGGAGGGTCGTGTGTTTCTTCTTAACTGGATCTCTTTGGAGAAAGACCTGCCTTTTTCGTAGGTGGGAAGCTACGCTATCCTGAAGCGTGTGCGTAGGGTGGGGTTGGTTGGTCGGTTGGTTTTTCGAAGAGGAAATCCAGCCGGGCGAGCTGCTCCCTGCCCAGCCGGGCTGCGAAACCGAACCCGTGAGCTGCCACAGCG